ACTTTCGCAGAGGTGACCAACTTGTGTTTCGCGTGCTCATATGACCTTAGCAGTTGCGAGCGCAGTAAAACCTTATACTATATATACATACATACAAAGAGGGAAGCTTGGAAACTGCCATGCAGTGCAAACTGCGTTCTACGCAAAATCATCACTATTTTTAGAATCACGATCAGATCAAAGATTCTCTACTAGTAGACAATCTTTGATCAGATGACTCAGCGGGCATCCCCCTTGCGAGGTCAAACAAGATGGCCATTACTATAAATATTGGCCAATGACGTTTAGTTGTCGTGCTCTAGATCTAATCTAGAATAATTACTTTTCGGTCAAAATTTGGACAAAAATGGCTATGTCGTCTTTAAGCCTCTCTATCTCCTGTCTGCCTTGCCTGAGAGGCAAACTGAAACTGGCAACAGGAAGCCCTGTGATTGGATTACCCCTGGAATGTACCGTTTCCGCTTGTTGGGATTCTGAGGTGCTGACTGGGTGCAAAAGAGATGCCACATTTATAAAATTTACGCTTTCGATCACCATTTTTTGGAATCTCATGGATTCGGGCAGTATTTCGGCATTCAGTCGCACAACCCATTGGGCCCACAAACACCGCAGCATTTTCAATTGTCATCACATTTGAAACCTTGTAATAATAACATGATTGTTAATGCTTTCAACACCCGGGCTCTATAGATCTAGTGTGTCAATTGGTTTTCACCACTTAGATAGATTTTAGCTATTTTTTAATGAGCATGTCATTGTTTGACAAAGTTAAAAAAACAAGAAACAGCAACAACACCAAATTCTCTGCATAAGATCCACAAACTAAACTAGAAGCAATCATATAAATAGAACCGTAGATCTAGATTTTTAATAAAAACAAAAACTCAAACACATAAAAAAATGGAAATAACACAGTGTACTCCCATTACTCGCAAAAAGCTACTGGTCTGGAATACATTCGCAGCACCGAAACTGGAGCTTCTCTATTTCTTGAAAACTGAGTGAAGCGGCATTGGTACAACGCTTGTGCCACCAGCCATTACAGAGTTCACACTGTAACCAGAGTTCTGCACCCCCTTTCTGGTGACAGCCCTTGCAAAGATCAGATCTAACCTCCATCCACTCATTATCATCTTCATCATCCGCTCTTTTCATCTCAACAAACATCTGCGTCTCCGTCTCTTTGTCTTATCCACTGCTGCTACTCTCTTTTCTGGCTCGACATGCTTTCGCCATCTCTTTCTTTTGCTTCATCAGTTCTCTCTTTTTAGCTTTCTTTTCCTCTCTTCGGCCTTCTTTTGTTCTTTTGTCAACTTTTCCAATTCTCTCTTTCTTTTCATCATTTCTTTCTCCTCTTTTTTTCTCTTATTGTCTTCCCTCATGGTCTTCTTTTCCAGTTTATCTTTCTCCTCTTTTTGTTTACTCTCGAGTTTTCCTTTCATTGCTCCTCTAAAGTCCTCGCTAGGGATACAAAGTGGGGTCGTTGGAGTCAGTTTCTTTCCCTTTTTCTTCGTGCTGCTGAATTTAGGTATCTTCAAAATATCATCGACGGCTGTCTGCTCTGTTGGTAGAGCTGTGGTTGCTGAAGTGAAGGCTTTCGCAATCTTCACAACATGCTCTAGGAAGATGTTGAAAGAATTGTCTGAAGGGGCCATTTCTGTGCCTGCCAGGACAGAGAAGAATGTAAGGAAATTCTTCCGAAGAAGATCGTCATATAGAAAGATCCCAAAGTCTTTGATTGCTTCCAACTGTTGCACAGTAAGCACAGAACTGGGATCGGAAAAACCAGATGGGGTAGGCAGAGGCAGTGATTTCTTGGCTATGGAACTTGCAAAAGAGGAGGCTGGGGTTGCTACTTCTTCAGGCAAGGAAGTGACAGAAGGAAAGCTCGGGGATGCTGGTTCCTCTGGCAGGGAAGTAGCAGAAGGGAAGCCCGGGGGGGCTGGTTCCTCTGGCAAGGAAGTGGCAGAAGAAAGCTCGGGGACGCTGGGTCCTCTGGCAGGGAAGGTGCTTCTGCTGTGCGGAAGACAGCACATGGTGCCAGCTTTCCAGAGTTGAGGACCCTGTCTGGATCAAACGGGACAATGCCTGCAAGCCTGAAGCTTTGGGTGGCAATTCCAGGTGTTGCTGATTTGTCCCAGACAGGTTTCAGAACACAGGCGAAGCTATCCAGGTTCACAGCATTGCCGCAGTTGGCAATATGGTGACAAGTAGCTTGAGCCCATGCAGGTGTTGTAGAGCCAAAAAAGGCTTGGTCAAGGGGCTGTAGTCAAATCGATGATGGCTTGGGCAGTTCTCCGGATATCATCAGTCATCAGCCCGAATCCAGATTTGGTCCTGACCAATATGAACTTTACAAGTTTGTCCTCTTCTTCAGGTAAAAAAAGGCACATCTTTTTAGGTGCTAGAGGTGTCTTGCCTGCTATTTTGTCATTCAACGTAGAAAGTGGAATGTTAAAATTCTTAGCAGCCTGTCTTTGAGTCATTTGACCTGTCTTGACACTTTCAATTGCCTGGAGAATCACCTTTGGATCATGTAACTTTTTCTCTCTTTTGGGAGTTGTGCTCTCCTTTTCGCCAGTCTTTTTCGGTCGTCCCTTGATTTTGTTCCGATCTTTGTTTCTGTAATGAACACATGAGGGACTTTTCTTAGTGATTAATTATCTTAAAAAATTTTATCACTACTATCATCATCATCAGTGTCACTTTCGAATTCTTCGATCGCTAATTATCTCTAGATCTAGATCTATTTGTATTTGGATTTGGCCTTTTCAGTATTACTGGCATATAAGCTCTAATTCTGGGTTATTTAAATTATGCACAAAATCATAATTCTTTATCATTTGATCGGTAGAACTGACAATGTGACACTAAGAATCGCCCTGGAGCAATTTTCGCTCTTTTTTTAGTTGTTGACTCTTGACACTTGAAGATGGCCAGATGTCAACTTGTGACTCTTGGTATTGACCGGAAGGGTAAGTAGCCTATTACGAGAGGGGTAAA